GCCTGTGTTGGCAGCACTGACCTAGGAGTGACCCTAAGTCCACCTCCCCATGGGCCCCTCTGTGGGGTCCTCAGGTGGATGCTTCACACTTCCTTGAACCCCTTGGGGCCTGGCTGACACCAGGGCTGACAAACACTCTTGGAAATCCACCAAGAACCCGGCCGGACAAGGTGAAGCAGAGTAGATTTACCCCACCAGAGTCCCCCTGTCCCTCATGGTCAGCTTGGGCAGTATGGGCAGATTTCCTATCTCAGGGAGTCTGTCCCCCACACTGGTCCTGAGAACAGCAGTTGCCAGGGTTGGGCTGTGATGGAGTGACTGTCTTGGTGTCCCCCTCTTCTCTGGGGAGAGATGCTGTGCAGTGGGCACAGGGACATTGATCTGTGTTGATGAGCCTCTGTGTGTGGCAATGGGGCTGCCTGGAGGTTTGGTGAGCTGCAATAGGCTTTAGAAACTCGCCTTTCCAGGTAAACAATCAGTTGTCTGCAGTTGTTTGCAGCCAAGAAATCTGATTAACTGATAGAGTTGTTGTGAGGATGAAATGAGGTCATGGCTGAAGATCTCTTGGCCAGGACCTGACATGCAGCTCAATGTGAGTGTACAGCAGTGGGCTGGGAGCCAGGAAACCTGATGTGAACTTGGACAAGGTACTTCCCAGCCCTTGGCTGGGGAGATGGGGCAGTTAGGAAGAGCAGTTAGGAAGAGCTCTTCCAGCTCTATTTCTAAGACTCCCCCACCCCCACCGCATATTTGCACCTCATTCCTCCAAAGCCCATGTGCTCTCCACTAGTCTTCACTGCCCATTTGGAAGGTAAGGAGGGAAAATTAAAACAGATCAAATAAAAAGAATTTCCTTAAGTCAAGGGGAGATTCCCCTATCCCCCCCAAACTGAGGATTGAACCCAGGGCTTCACTACCACTAAACTACCCTTTTGAAATTTTTATTTTGAAACAGGTTACCGAGGTTGGCCTTGAACTTGGGAACCTCCTGCCTCAGCCTCCCAAGTTGCTGGGATTACTGGTGTGTGCCAATGCGCCCCCCCCCCCAAGGGGAGATTTTTAAATTGAATTTTAGCAACTTCCTATGTCCGTCAGCAAGTTGAATCATTGCTTGGAAAATCAATAGTCTCAGATGTTTTTGTTATACATTTTGCTGCATCAAATGTTTCTCATGTTTTGATTTCACTTTATATTTTAGATAATGTGAGACACTTATTTTCTATACAATGGTCAATCATTATATTTTTTGAAGCTCTGAGCTCTAGTTTCACTGGTTGTTTTGTATTTTGTATATTTATTTTCATGCAGGCTTTTTTTTTTTTTTGGCCTAGTGCTTGGGTGGGAGAGAGCCCCAGGCCTCCCCTCCCCGACACTGGGCAGGTACTCTGCTACAGAGACACCCCCAGCTCAGGGCTCATTTCTTCCTATTTGTGATTTTATGGGAATTCTGTGCTTGTCTGTATCCAACCTCCAGAAAGCTTTCATATCTACTTCTTGCTCTTTTATTTTTTTTTAAATATTTATTGTTTTAGTTATAGATGGACACAATTTGCACTCTACCTCTGAGCCACACCCCAGCCCATATCTGCTTCTCTTACCAAGGAAAAACCTACATTAAATCCTCTAGCTTCATTTGCTCTTAATTGACTAAAAAATCACCAATTTTGGAGGCCAAACACCTGGGTGATAGCTTATTAGTCTCTCATTAGCTTTGCTGTAGGTTAACACCTCTACGTGTGGGTTATAGTGACATTGGTTGCCTAGGTTACTCTTCAGGGACCTGAAGGCCACTTCTGCTGAGAACACTTTTCACTGGGGCCTACAATGGGATGGAAAGACTTGACATCTTTGTCTTTTCGTGTTGTGGCCTTCAGTTTTTGGTCAGATTCTACTCAGTTCTGCATAGAGACCTGTTGAGAAATGTTCTGTCCAATGCTATACAAGAGCGTTAATTTGACCTAGACTTGCCTCGTCTCTCTCTTGCCCCTTCAAGGCTAAAAGACACCTACCAGTCACATGATCAGAAACACCATGAAAGGAGTGAAGGGAGGGGCCTCCAAGCTTCTGGAAGATTATGGCCTGTTTCCAGAATAGTCATTAATATCCCCCTGTCAGGAGTCTATTCCTTTCCCTCTTACTCCTATCCTAGGAGTACTTCCTAGCCCCTTGGAGTGGAGAAGCTGATGTGTGAGCTAAGTTCCTTTTTCTCTATTCTTTGGCTACTGAATAAAGTCTTTTGTCCTCTCCAACATTCGTCTCTTGGAAATGGCTGTTGTGTAGAATGAGCCCCTGAACCTGAGTTTGGTCACACTTCTACCAGACTTGTGATCCCAATTCTTTCCTTTTATTTACTTATTTTTTGTTTTTTGCAGTACCAAAGATGGAACCCACGGGTGCTCTATCACTGAGCTACATCCCTATTCCTTTTAGTTTTTTGAGACAGGGTCTTGCTAAAATGCTGATGCTGGCCTCAAAATTGTGATCCTCCTACCTTGGCCTTTTGAGCAGCTGGGATGATAGATGTGCACCGCCATACCAGGCTCTTTTTAAATTTTATTTTTATTGTCAATTTGTGTGTGTATGTATGTGTGTGTGCACGTGTGTGTGCACACGTGTGTGTGCGTGCTGGGAATCAAACCCAGGGCCTTGTGCAAGCGCTCTGCTGTTGAGTCACATCACAGCTCCTTTTTTCTTTTTGAATTTATTTCAGAATAGTTTTAGGTTTATAGAATATTGCAAAGAACCTCTCTTCTAATCATCTTCAGGTTGCTTTCTTTCAAAACTCTAAATGTTTGATTCATTTGTTCTGAGCATCATTAAAAAGAGACCAGGTGACCAATTATTTTTCCCCAAGGGTTTGCTCATGAGTGAAAAGCAAAGACCCCAAGGCTGGTGAGGAATACGGCTCGATCGGTTCCTCCCCAGCACGCTTCCTACCCTCTCCCCGTGCTTCTGCACCTGGAAATGGCAGGTGTCGACACTTGCCTTGGAGGGTTGTGGTGAGGATTAGAGGTGAGGCGTGGATGAGGCACCGAATTCAATAGCTGCTTAATAAGGAAGAGCAATTAGTGGTGGTAATAACCAGGGCAGAGTGACAGGACGCCACCTGCCTTTTGGTACACTATCAGCTGGGTAACAGTAGGACACTGGTCCTGAGACTGAGCCTCACCTATGAACTGAGATGTCGTTAACTGCTATCTGGTATGTATTCTTACCTCTTTAGGGCTGGGAAGAGGGTTGGCCTTTAATAGTGGAGACATAGCTGTTAACTATTTTTCTCCCACTTGACAGTCTGGGAAAGGATGGGGAAGACAGGGATGGGGAAGACAGGGATGGGGATGTAGCTCAGGGTAGAGAGGATGTTTAGCTTCCGTGAGGCCCTGGTTCAATTCCCCAACACCTAAACAAGTAAACCAGAGTTTTTTTTTTTTTTTTGATACTAGGCATTGAATCCAGGGGGGCTTAACCTCTGAGCCACATCCCACCCCTTTTAAAATTTTATGTAGAGACAGGGTCTCACTGAGTTGCTTAAGGTCTTGCTAAGTTGCTGAGGCTGGCTTTGAACTTGCGATCCTCCTGCCTCAGCTTCCTGAGCTGCTGGGATTACAGACGTGTGCCACCACATCCAGCTTAAACCAGAAGATTCTATTACCAATTTCAAATATATCTGTTCCACACATGCCTCCTTTCCTTCCATTACCCTGGGGCTGTCACTTTCCTGGCTAAGATGACCCCCAGGGGACCTGACAGTTCAGAACGTTCTGCCACTGACTGCAGAGGGAGAGAACAGGGAGGCCTGTGTGGTTCTAGCCTGTCACCTGAAGCTGGGAGCCTGCCTGGCACCCTCCCCGGGAGCTGGTGTTGGCACTTTATGTTAGTTTGCCTGTTGGCCCGTGGCCAGCTCCTCCCTTTCTACATGCTCCTTGAAGCTGCAGGGGCTGGAAGTGTACAAATGACCCTTCCCGTTAGTGTCTTCAGTGGGAGGGGAAGCAGCAGACAGGAAGAGACAGGAAACCTCCCACCTGTTCCCAAATGCTGATGGCACTTCTGGCAGGGGCCGAGCTGGGGCTCCAGGCTTGAAGGAGTGGCGAGGTTCCAGGGCAGTGGTGGTGGTGGCCGTGGGCGTTCTGGCCGCCTGGTGTTGGGTGCGAACTGGCTGTGGCAGTCTGGTTCTAGTTGGCTCAGCGGCAGCCCCTTCTTTTGTAGCCATTATGGAGATACGGTCCCCAGGTGGAAGTGTCTAGCCCAGCTTGTCTTTCTGAGGAGCCAAGCACCCATACACACCTGCTGGGGTATGGAATCTCAAGGCTGGCCTCCAGCTTGGTGCTTTGGGAGGAGTCAAAAATTGAAGAGGTAGGTCCTTGCAGGAGTTCTTCAGGTCCTTGGGGATGTACCTTCAAAGGAAATCCTGGGACCGGATCTTTCTTTCACTTCCAGGCCATGAGGTGGGCAGCTATGTTCTGCCACAGGCCTAAGGCAACAGGGCCAACCACTCATGGACTGGAACCTCTAAAACTATGAGTCACAATACCCCTTTTCTGTTTATGCGCTGATTAGCTCAGGTCTTTCATTACGGTGAAGGAAATTTGGCTTCTGCACGTACCCTGACCTCACCTCACACTGTGGCTGAGCCCGCTGGCTGCTGAGGGCCAGATCCGCTAGTCTCTGAGTTGGTGTTAGCTGAGGACAGGGCAGTCCTCATGGTCAAGTGGCGTGGCTTTTTCAAGTCCCGCCAGTTGAGGCCTCTCTCACCACACGTTTTTGCACGCTCCTCTCTGATGATGCGGTGGTGCCAGAGCCTCCTCAGAGGTACAGCCCAGGGCAGTGTCTTCTCCTCCAACTCCAGACTGACAAGGGGTGAGTCGGGGGACAGTGGCAACCACAGTCAGAAGGGACCTCCCTCCTGACACCCCTTTGACATCCACACCCCCAGCCCTGGATATGGAGGAGGGGGAGGAGCCCAGTGGCCCTCAGAAAAGCACACAAAGAACTGAGTCAGCTTCAAGTCAACTCTTAAATACTTAATTCCCATTTATTTAAAGTTCTGTCAGTCTGTGTACACTATTTATATTAAAAACACAGGAAGCTGGGGCTCCTAGCAAAAATATACATTTCAGTATTGGAGACTGCTCAGCCACTGAGAAGAGCGACACCTCAGCACCAGACCTGGGTGGGGACAGGGACAGGCAAAGAGCTCCCTTCAGCCTCGGCCCCAAAGGCCGCACCCCAAGCTCCAAAATCTGGTCAGCTGAGGGGGAGGGGAGAAGAAAGGGTCTTGCTAGCAGAGTGATCCTGGGACACAGAAGGCCACCAAGCTGGTAGGGGCAGATGCTGGGCTTGTCCTCTCTCAAGCCATCACCTCCCAGAGCTGCACTCGGATGGAAAGGCCCCTTGGGACCAGATAGGGTCCAGGAAGTCCAGGCTGTAACCCTGGCTCTCCTACCACCTTCTGAGACCCTAGCTGGTCCCTCCTCACTCAGGCCTGGGTGGGCACACCTCCACTCAGGAGCTGGGGGCAGGGGCCAGACCCACAGGTCCCAGTTATTTGAGGAGGCACAGGGAGAACTCCAGGTGACCAGTGGGCTGAGAGCAGGGCAGGGAGGGTGGCAGAAGGCAGGGCTGAATGAACGGGGGGAAGCACAGGATCCCAGGAGCAGGTCCTGGCTGGCTCGGCAGGACAGTCCTGCCCACCCAGAGGTCTGCCAGCCCTGGGAACAGCCCCTGCAGGCACACCTCTTGGGGAAGGAGGGAGGGTGGGCCAAGACCTGTGGTAAAGTGATTTCAGTGCTGTGGTGTGTGCTGGAGCATCAGCTCCAGGGAGTGTGTCAGGGAGGGGCCGGTGCCAGGGGCTCCTGGCTAGAGAAAGGTGCGGTGGCACTGGGTTCTGACCATTGTGGCTGCTACAGGGTAGGGGCAGTGCGGTGCTGATGGAAGGCCCGCCCCATACCCCCTGGCCTCTGACCCCAGGACGCAGACCCTGATCTCTGGGGTCAGAATGAAGTGTGCTATAACCCAACCACCCCCACCTTTCTCCTCTTCAACGGGGGTGTGGGGCTTCCACCTGGAGGGAACACTGCTTTCCCTCCAGGCTGGGGGGTGCCCCGCAGCGGCCAGCGCAGGGGATCATCAGTGACGTTGTTTAGAAGACTGGTATGAAGAATGGAAGGACGCTGGGTGTCAGAGGGCTGGACTGCTGTTATAGGGTCAGCCAGCTTCATTCTTGGGCAGGGGAGATCACTTGGGGGAGGCCTCTGGCTCTTGGCCCAGCCCCCCGGCCACTGTACCCTACAGCAGGGACCCAGTGACTGCAGGTTATTGCTGCAGGCATTCCAGGCCAAGCTTCCCCAGGAAGCCAGGCCCAGAGGGCATAGTGTTTCTTTGGATGGCTCAAGTCTTTTGCTTGAAGAAAGGAGACAGAAGTGGGCCCCCTGTGCCTGCAGCGCAGTGTGGGACAGAGGACGCCCACTCCTTCCCCTGGGAAAGGAGGGGCAAAAGCAGAAGTTCTGTCTTAGGCTGCTGGTGAAATAGTACAAAGTTCTCACAGACGAAAGAGCAGACAGACGTGGGGCTGCACGGAGAGACGAGAGGAGGGAGGAGGAGGGGACACAGCTGCAGAGGGGAAGGCAGCGGAAGAGCCAGAGGCACTGGTAAGACAGGAACCAAGACAGGGGGACAACAAAGGCAGACAGAGTCGGGGAGCAAAGAAGTGGAGGAAAGGGACCATGGAACCAGGACCATGGGCGTGGGAGCGCGAGAGTGTGACCCTGATGCTCTGAGCTGTGCTGAGTGCTTTCCAGTGGCTGGACCCCTCTGCAACCTGCAGGTGGCCTGGACACTGGCTTCAGTACATGTCCTTATAGATCTCCTGGAGTAGGGGGTGCAGCAAGGTCTCAGTCTCAGTCTTCTTGAGCCACTGCATCATCTGGGCGTGCTCGGTAACCAGCTGCCGCAGGTCAGCCATCTTCTGCAGCAGCTTGGGGAAGAGGTACTGGGTGTCGGGGTGGTTGGCCTGCAAGTGGAACTCGAGGGCACGCAGGATGGTGTCCTGGATGGCCTCCACCTGGGGCACGTTCATGAGGCCTGGCCGGTCTGTGGGGACATGCATGGGGTCTTAGAAGGGCAGAGAACCTCCCCTTCCCCACCCAGGGGAGATGTGGCACAGGGCAGGCCTTCTTGCCTGGGCCAGACCCACCCTGTCCTCTCAGTGATGGCTCCACTGAGTGCTCTAGGACCCCGACCCGGTCTCCCCATCTCTCTTGTTCCTTGCCAACAGTTTTTCCTGGCTGGACAGGGTGCTATGTGTGGTGGTTAAGAGACTCAGCGCCTGGCTTCAAGTCCTGCCCTTCCCAAAGACTCTCCACGAGGCTCTGGGCAGGCCACCTGGCCCGTCTGGGCTTGATTCCTCATCTGAAAATGAGGATAATAAAAAGAACCTCTAGGGCGGGGATGTGGCTCAAGTGGTAGCGCGCTCACCTAGCATGCGTGAGGCCCTGGGTTCAATTCTCAACACCACATAAAAATAAAAAATAAAAAAAAGAACCTCTAGCCCAGGTTGTTGAGGACCACATGAGTTATAATCTGCAAGAAGAACTGGAACAGGGGCCAGCAGGAAGCAAGCTTTGTGCCACTGCTGGCGAGCAGGGTTGCTGCTGTACTTATTGTGTTGGAATCTGGAAAATGCAGGTAGAACACGGACTATTTCTGCACCGCCCATAAATACCCCTGTTCGCAGGACGGTCAGTCTGGTTTCAGTCTTTTTCCTTCTGCCTCCATCTGTATGATAACGTGGAGCTGATTCTGCACGTGCAGTCAGTGCTTCACCTGCTCCACTATCGGATCACGTGGATGTGTCCCCATGCGTCTGGGCTCAGGCTTGGCCCTGCAGTGAGGGTCCAATCCCCAGGGAACGTGCTGTGGGGCCGGCCCACCTGCTCAACCTCACTCACCTCCACACAGGATAATGGCTGCGATGAACAGAGCCAGGTCGCTGTCGTCAAGTTCCAGGGCGTTAAACTTGACAGCAAACTCGAACTTGGGTTCAATGATGTCACTGAAGGGCTTGCGGAGGCTGCGCAGGAACTCATGAGTGACAAAGCCACTGCCATTGGCCACCAGCAGCCCATCTTTGTTGACAATGGAGGCCAGCATGGCAAAGATGGCCTCATGCACGCCATACTTGAGAAGGGTCACCTGGTCATTGAGGAAGAGATTGCTGAAGTTGGGGATGCTCTTGGCAAACTCGGTGAGCTCCCGCACGGTCTCCACTGTGGTGCACTGGCAGCGGTAGAACACGTGCACGCTGATCTCTTTGTAGGGCGGCAGGCCGTTCACCAGCTGCTTCCACACCAGGCCCTTCTCTGCCTGCCACAATGTCTCGATGTCGTGGATCACAAAGGGCTGAAAACCAGGCCCTGTCAGAGGCCAGGCCTCGGGGGTCCCCGCCCGAATGTCCCCACACCCCTGCCTGTACCATGAGTTAAGGGAGGGAGGAGGCGCGGTTCTCCCAGGAGTCAGGTGTGGCAGCGTGGACCAGAGCTGGGATTCTGCCACGCTGGGCAGTGACACTCACCGCAGTGTGGCTGGACTTGCCAGTGAGGATGCTGCGGGCCTTCTTTTTGGTCATGTTGAAGTTTTTCAGGTAGGCGTTGTAGATGTGCTTGGAGAAGGCCTTCAGGTCAGCCAGCTGTGGGTTGTGCAGGTGCCCCTCGCTGGCTGTCAGCCCCGCCACCAGCTTCCTCTTCTCCGCCTCTGGCATCCGGCCGAAGCGGATGGCTGTAGGGGGGCGGGGGACGGGACACGGGACAGTTACAGAGGAACCAGGCACCTCTAACCTTTAACCCTGTCCCTTTACAGGTGCACATGTCAAAGATGGAGACATCACTCTGGGGCCTGAGGCCTCAGGGATTCTAGAGCCATTAAGGTGGTAATGTTGAAGCTGCCCCTCAGAACCTGTGTCCCTCACAGTGCCCAGCACACAGGGCCTGAACTTGCTGAGTGATTGGCTGCCCTTGGTGGGATGCAGCACAATACAGCGTCTAGAAGACAGGCTCTGGTGTGAAGGCCTGCTCCCCCAGTCCAGCTCAGCACCTACTAGCTTTGTAACTCTGGACAGACTATTTCACCTTTCTTAAAACTTAATGGGTCCAGAGGCAGTGACTCGTGCCCATATCTCAGCCACATTGGAGGCTGAGACAGGAGAACTTCAAGTTCAAGGTCAGCCTGGACAATTTTGCAAGACTCTGTCTCAATTTTTTAAAAGGGCTGAGGGTGTAGCTCAGTGATAGAGTGCTACTTGAGGTCCTGGGTTCAATCCCCAGTACTGCAAAAATTAAAATTAAATTAAATATAAAATAAAAAACTTAATGGGTGGTTGGAACAATTGAACCAGAATATTCTCTGTAATCCCAGGCACCCACCCAGGAGGCTGAGGCAGGCAGATCATGTGAGCCCATGAGTTTGAAACTAGCAGACTAGGCAATGTAGTGAGACCCCCTTCTCAAAAAAAAAAAAAAAAAAAAAAGGCAAATAAATAAATATTCACCCAGCACTCATAAATCACAGTCAATGGAACAGGATATGAATCTGGCTTCTATTAGAAGGAGAATGAGGGAAGGATTCCAGCAGTTCTGAGATGTCCTAGGAACTTCCCCAACGGCCACAACGGAATGAGGACCAAAGCAGACACAGACTGAGGGGCAGAATCAAGCCACACACATGCCAGACCCCACCACCCTGGACAAGAATAAAAGCTGCCCAGGGGCTGTCCTACCATGGAGCTATTTAAAAAAAAAAAAAATATATATATTTTTTTAGTTCTAGTTGACACAATATCTTTATTTTATTTATTTATTTTTATGTGGTGCAGAGGAACACAGTGCCTCCCGCAGGTGGGGGGGGGGGGGGGGGGGGGGGGGGGGGGGGGGCTCTACCACTGAGCCACAACCCCAGCCCCACCATGGAGCTATTTAAATGTAAATAGGAGACTCTCCCCTGTCCCCTGGGGATTTGACCCAGAGGAACAGAGGGGCAGATGGACTTTACAATATCCTACTTTAGGGGTCTGAAGAAAAGACTCTGCAGGAGGCGGAGCACGGGGCAGGGTTGACTGTGTTCTGGGAGAGACTGGCCTCTGACGCAGGAGGTCGCTCACTGGTTCCTGCCTGCTCCCAACAACCAAGAAGGGCTGAGGTCATCCAGCCAGGCTGAGGTTCTGGGACTGGTGCTCCCCACCTGGTCTGAGCTGGGGGCTCAGTTCCCTTCTGGGCCAGAGCAGGTAAACCTCAGGCACAGAGAGGTGGTGGCTGCCCAGGTCTGTCCAGGTAGATGCCAGACAGCGTGGGGAAGTGGCAGATCTTAGGCCCCAGGACCCAGGTCAGACTGGCCAGGTCCCAGCTGACACACAGTTCACTGTGTGCCCAGCACTGCTGTGCGGGTACCTCCTTTCAGGATACACTGGGTACATTCTGGATCCTGGTTTGAGGTTGTGCGGATCCAACAGCCCCTGTGCCTTGCCGGGGTCAGCTCTCACCATTATGTGACATGCCCAGTGCCAGGCATTTCTGGAAGCGGCAGTACTGACACTTGTTGCGGTTCTTCTTCTGGATCTTGCAGCTCCGATCACACTTCTCATATTCCAGCTTCATGCGAATTGTCCTTCGGAAGAAGCCCTGAGGGACCAAGCATAGGTGAGGAGAGGTCGCCATGAGGGGACAGGGCTGGCGAATCCTGCTCTGCCCACTGGGCTGTGTCAAAGGCCTGATGAGGCTGACTGATGTAAACACTGCTACAGTTTGGAAGGAACGGGGTGGGCTGGGGGTGTTAAAATTATACAACACATTTACTTTACCTGCCCAAAGAAGCCTTAAATCTTCTTTGTTAATTTGATAACAAAACTGTATCATGGCTAATTTGGTTTATTCATAAATATATCTGGTTCTTTGTATTTTGTAGGTGGTGGTTTAATAAAATAATCTGTGAAATTCTCATGGGTATGCAGTTAGAAGGAAAAACCTAGCAGCACCACTGGAAAAAGTGACAGCCCCCAGTTCAGACAGGTGGGGAACGCCAGTCCCAGAATCTCATCACTGTTTTTTTTTTGTTTTTTCCTCAAGAAGTTCTTTAAGTTTTGAGGTGCTAGAAACCCTGACCTCAGAAGACCTCCTGGCCTGGTCCCCAGGGAGGGGCACCAGCTACCCACAGAGTCCGAGTGTCTGGGTCCACCCTGCAGGTGCCCAGCAGGACAGGCCTGGAGAGGAACCCTCCTTTCCTGCAGGGCCCAGAGCTCAGACCTGGGCGGCCCGAGGGGTTGAGCAGCAGTGTTCTCAGAGTCCAACTCTGGGGCAGGGAAAACCCACATGGTAGCTCAACCTAACGTGAGCTGCAGTCCCCCAGTGCATACCTTGCACCCCTCGCACGCATGAACACCATAGTGGAAGCCTGAGGCCTTGTCCCCGCACACTCGGCACTCCATGTTGAGGCTGCCGCCCGAGGCCCCGTCACAGCCCATCTGGAGCTGGTCCAGAAGCGAGGGTGGGGAGGAACTCTGGGAGAGGTCTGTGGACAAAGGACAGAGAGGCAGCTTCACACTCTGCCAGCTAGGCCTGGGAGCCAGGGGTGGGGAGGGTCCCTAAGCCCTGGGCTCAGCCTCTTCAGAGCTGTGTGTCCTGGTGGGGGGAGGGATTTTTTTTGACCTGGAATGTGGGGTTAAGGACAACTTCTCTGGGAGGATGGGGCAAAGTCTCCAAGGCGAAATTCCCCCAGAGCTGCCACACGGCAGATGTCCAGGACACACAGCTCGGTCAGAGCCTTCCTGCTCTTAAGCATGGTAAGAGGGTGCAGGGTTGGCCGTGCTTTGAGAGGAGGAATAGGTAAGAGGAAGCAGACTGAGGATCTGCAGCTGGTCCTGGGAAGCAGCTCTCTAGTGGCTGGTTTAGAGGTGGCGCCGTGCAAGCCCATGTGGGGTGCTGTGGAAGCTGAGGTGCAGACCTCTGTAGGGCCGGCTCTCGCAGGAAGTTCTACTATGGACATTCCAAGAGGCTCAAGTTTGCCAGGGTGGTGGTGGATGTCTGTAATTCCAGCTACTTAAGAGGCTGAGGCTGGAGGATCTCAAGTTCAAGACCCATCTAGGCAATTTTCTGAGCACTCTGTCTCAAAACAGAAAATCAAAGGGCTGGGGATGGAGTTCAATGTAGGGCGCCCCTGGGTTCAATCACTGAAGTAGATGAATGGGGAGAACTTCAAATTCATTCCCATGAAACGTCTTGCTTGATAAAAAGAGCATAGGTGTCAGTCACATTGAGTAGTATGCTGCGGTTCCCTAACCAGCGTACAGATGTTTGAACCATGGTGTTTGGAGTCTTGGCAAGGAAATAGCTGTGACTATGGCTTCAGGATAGATATGCTGTTAAATGACTCAGTAAGAAGCTGTCTTTTCTGATTCTCCCCTCAGACACGCGGTGGAATAAGTGGAAAGGGGACCTATACTGGGTCTCGATCTCCTGACTCCCAGTCCAGTGCTGGTTCTTGGCCCACAGAACTGTCTGTCCTGCCTCTCTCTTGCTGGTTTTCCAATCTCTGCTCTCTCCTGGGATAGCTGGGCCACCTCCTTGAAGGCAGGTGCCAAATTCCCAAACCCAGGAACCAGCCACCTAAGCAGGAGCTCGGCAGGAGACCTAAGCCATGGCAACAAACCCAAACTAATATTTCCCAGGCCTGCAGCCCTGTCTGTACAACACAGGCCAACCGACTGAGGACCCTGCCTGGTGGGCTGCTCCTCTCCTAGTCAGTGAGGTTCAGGGGTGACACAAGTCCCTAAAATGTCCTGTCTTGTCCCAGTGCCTTAGCTCCCAACTTTGGTCATTCCAAGGGGAGTAATAGTCCCCTACCTCGAGCTGGGGTGAGTGGGCCCCTTGATTTCTTGGGCCAGGTGCTCTGACAGGTGAAGCCTCTGTGGTCTCTCGGCCTTCACTGCCACCTGCTGCAGTCCCTGCCTGTTTGTTCCTCGCTGAGCACCACCCACTAGACGTAAGCACCACAGGGCAGGGCGCTGCTGTGGCTCAGCTCCAAGACCTGTGAAGGGTGCTGGACACGTGGCAGGTCCCACTGCCTCGGGGGGACCAGCAGTCCTCATGCTGCCTGGGGTCCTGGCCTCAGCACAACTGGCCAATGGAGCTGGGCAAGACTCGCCACTCCTGGAGGCCTTAGAACAGGGACGACAGGAGTCAGTACCGGTGCCAGAGACTGTGGTAAAATAAAAGCTCTCTATGAGGCCTGCTCGGACGCTGGGGCAGGCGGACTCCGGGCACTTCCTGAGTGGGGTGGTCTACTGCACGCTCGCTTTGCGGTCCTTCTTGTAATCAGTGCTGTTTCTGTAGTTTTGCCTCCCCAGTTAGACTTGCCTTGTCTCTAGCATCTCGGGGACCACCTCCTTCACAGAGTCTTGTCCAAGTGACCAATCTCTGCAGTTAAGTCCCTTCCTCCTCCCTGTGTGTGGCCCTGGAGGCTCAGCAGGTGTTTGATCTTGGGGTTGCTGTTGGCCTTGCACATGGCAATATTTATCAACAGACATTTGATAAGTACCTGCTGTGTTCTGGGAAGGACTCTCCTCACATAGCTGAGGAAGGAAGAGATAAGCAAACTGGAACAACTAGATGGGGTGGCGCTTGCCACCTAGTGACTGGGGAGGCTGAGGCGGGATGGCCAGCCTTAGAAACTTAGTAAAACCCTGTCTCCCCAAAGAAGAACTGGGGATGTAGCTCAGTGGTAAAACACCCTTGGGTTCAATCCCCAATTAAAAAAAAACACACCTTGATAAAGGGCACAATGGCAGGTGAGTCAGTGATGCAGGATCTCAGAAGAAGCCATCGCCTTTGCCTGTCCCCACCAGGGCAGGTGACTGCTCCTCTCTCTGGGCTCAAAGGTGAAGCTCTAAATGACCTCCAAGTCAGCTTCTGGATGCTCAGAACAGCAGGCCGGGAGGGTGAGAACTCAACTCAGGAGCCACAAGGCCCCGTTCAGATCCCATCTCCAACCAGCAGTTCTGAGGTAGAACCCATGCGTCCTCTGGCACTTGGGCCTTGGTTTCCTTCTTTGTAGAATGGATATGGCAACAGTACCTGAGAGGCGTGGTGAGGCATGACGGGGGTAACACAGAGGAGGCACTAAGAAGGTGGACATGCTAACTAGAAAGCTGCGGCTCTGCAGTCTCCAGGCTGTGTGCACACAGAGTCCAGGAGGGCCCTGGAACAGGCTGTCCTCTTATCTCTCCTGTCCCGCTGTGGCCGCTGGCTCAGGAGTGTCCAGAGCTCTGGGAAGCCTGGAAGAAGCCAGATGCTCAAACCCAACTGGCCATCCAAGGTTCCCAGAACTCTGAACTGTAAGAGAGACTCAAGACTCATTGTCCCAGGAGGATCCCAATTGGGAACTAGCACTAATGGGCAGGGAGAAACAGGCCTAGAGCAGCCAGGGCCTGGGTGCTGAATGGACATAACTCAAGAGTGAGTAGTCAGGGGGGCCTTGGTGAGGACGCCCTGCCTATTTAGCAGAACAAGAGACCACAAAATACTGACACACCAGCTGAGAGAGGGAGGGGAGAGGCTGGGCTGGGGCAGAGCACAGTGTTGTCCTGGGATACTGGAATGGCGGTAGTTTATGGGTGGGTTTTCCAAAGGTAAAGATTCTCTTTCTTTCTGATTGACCACTTGGCTTAAAGGTTTGTCCCAAATCATCATCACATGTGGTCTAACAGCAGCAATGGCAGAATTCTCCCCATTCCAGGGACCAGGCTCTGAAGGCCCTGCTCTTATCTCATGACCTCCTAGTTGGAGACAGGGGCAAGAAGGCGAATGGAGAGGCCCTCCTTCCCACGGGGAGTTCCGCCTCATGTTCCTTGGGCCTACTGGGTGGGAGTGAGCTGGGCCCACCTGCCAGGGCTGCCTGCCTGCACTGCCTGCCCACCTAGCCCCAGGCAGAGGCCTTGCTCTGGTCTATCTTGAATGCCTCCCAAAGGCCCATGTTTTGAAGGCTTTGTTCCTAGCCTGTGGCACGACTGTGAAGTGGTGGAACATTCAGGAGGTGGGGCTAGAAGAAGTAGTCAGGGTACTTGGAGGTGCCCTTGAGGGGAATATTGGGACCCCGGACCCTCCGCTTACTCTCTTTGCTTCCAGGGCCCCTTGGGGTGAGCAGCTCTTTCCCCTTTACCATGTATCTTTGCCATGATGTGCTGCCTTACTGCTGTCCCAAAAACAATGGGACCAACCAACCATGGGCTAGAACCTCTAAAACTGTGAGCTAAAAGAAACCTTTCTTCTTTTTAAGCTGAGTATCTCAGGTATTTTGTCCAGTGATGAAGAGCTGACATAGTTCTCTCACCCTGCCCCCATCCCTGCCTCTCCTCAGCCTCCCTTCCACTGCTTGGAGGAGGTATGCTTGGTCAGCTGAGGGGTCCATCATTTGGGCCCTGTGGTCTGCCTCTGGGCATTCTCTTGAGCCACACCCTGCCTGGCCTTCCCACCAACTCTTCAAACATCTGCCAGGGGCCTAGCTGCATAGGAGGGGAAGGGGAAAAGAGCCACATCTGCCAGGCCCCTACTAAGCACCATGTTGTTAGTGTCTTTATGCCCATTTCATTATCACCTTGAAGGACAATATCATCCACAGATAAGGAAATTAAGGCTGGGTGAGATTAAGAGATCCACCCAAGGTCACTTGCCTAAGTGGACTTAATCTAATCTGACTCACCTGCAAAGGCAGTGTGTACACACCAGTAGTGCCTTCTTGTTAGTGCACACTTACTGTGTGCCAGGCACTCTATTGGGCACCTCTCATCCATTCAGCTCGTATAGAGCCTCAGAACAACTCCTCATGAAAGGCGCCCCTTACTCCTACTTTACAGGTGAGGAATCTGAGACAATGGCGGTTTTATGTGTCAACCTGTCTGTGTATGACACCTAGGTTCTGGTTCAAATACCAGTCTAGATCTTGTTATGAAGGTATATTTTTTAAAGATGTGATTAACATTTAAATCGGGAGACTTTCAGTGAAGCAGATTACCTTCATAATGTGAATGAGTCTCATTTAACAGTTGAAGGCTTAAAGAAGAAAGATTGTGTGCCCTCCCTCCCAGGAAGAAGGGACCCTGCCTCCATACTGCCTTCAAACTGAGATGCCATGGCAACTTCCTGGGCCTCTAGCTTTCCTGTGAATTCCTAAAACTATATCCCTACACTCACGCATGTGTGCACCCCTGCCCCTACTGGTTCTGTTTTCTCTGGAGACCCCTGAGACAGAGGCAGAGGGACAATTATAAGCAAGAACATGCAACTCCTGGGGCTGAGCTCAGCCACTGTGTCTGCTGCTACCCATGTACTATTAAACAACATTGCTATATGATAAGCATCAAGACAAGGTCATTGCTGAGGAAGACACCAGGTCATTACCCGAATGTTTGCACTCCGTGTAAACACCAGCCCCATCACCCAGAGAGTCAAGTATCTGTTTCACCATCTTTGATTACAAGTTTGGCAAATAGACACTATTGACCTTATTCCCACAATTTATGTGTGGCTGAGATCTCTCCTGCACATCCCGTCTCTATCACTGGAGGCGTACTGTTGTCACAGCTGGGAGGGCAGCCAGGAGGGCCAGCCCCGTCTATTTACTTTGCTGGCAGAGCGTGTAGAAAACAGGCTCCCTCTAGCTACTGAGGTAGGGGCGAGTCCTGCAGGGACTGGGCTGGGGGCCGAGTGGCCTTCTTGCTCACAGCTGCACTGTGAGCTCCTCGGGGCAAGCACTTCTCGTTCATCATGAACACTAGCCTGGCACAGTGCCTGGCCCTGCCTGGACGCCACCAAGTACTTGCTGAGATCAGGAGGACAGCGTCTCTCTCCTCTTCCTTAGAGATGCATGGGTGGGATGCTCTTGGCAGGAGGAGACGAGGATGGAGGACGGGGAGGGGGTGAGCCCCAGCTCCCGTCTCTCCGCAGCTGGGGGATGCGAGGCAGGTGAATTTCTGGTAACTTCAGCTTCCTCACTGCTGAGAGTTAAGGTAAGGCCCTCTCTGCCTGCCTCTCAGGTGGGGGGAGGTGCTGAGTCAGTACAGGGATGCACAGAGAGCACAGGGGGGCAGGGGGCGGGGTTCAGCCATGAAGCAGCGGAAGCCTTTCTACGTTCAGCAGTTCCTTATGGGTCCCTGAGGGGACTCTGGGCCAATGTCATAGATTCACAGGTGCCGAGAATTGCAGTGGGTCAGATACACTTTCTTCTCGCATGGCCAGGCCTGGGGTGGGCAGGATGCAGCCTTAGCAGCGAGGAGCCTGGTTTGGGTGCTCTCAAAGCCCTCCAGCCCCCAGCACTGATGAGGGTCTGTCTCTAGGACCCTCACCCGTCAGCAGTCTCCTTAAAATGTTGAGCAATTAATTTATTTTAACCTTCTGAAGTAAAGCAGTACAAGCGTGCTTCAAATTATGAAAGTAGAACAGACTTGTTGGGAACGACACAGAGGGTGTGCAGCACCCGATGGCAGAGCCACCCCAGCAGGACCCGCTCCCTCAGTCAGCCCACCCGGCCTTCAGGGACACTTCTGCCATCTTACATGATACCTAAGGATTTTTAAGCAACAAGATCCTTCTATTTGACAGGACCTCATTTCCCTGTGTGCATACAGACCTACTTATCCTTCCTAATGACAGAGCATCCCCCATGGGGCTCCATGGCTGACATGAGCAAGTCCCCCCAGATGCGCCTCCCACTTCTGCTCCTGTAGCAGGGCTGCCGCGAATACGCAGCCGGGGCGTCTCTGCACGCTGAGCAAGGCTCTACACCAGACGCCGGCCCTAGGGAACTGCAGGGTGACAAACGCGCACCCAGGCTGCCTGCCACCCTCAGGACTGGAAGGCCAGTCCTCACCCCGGCCAAGGGTGGCCATATGGTCCCTTGTGCCAATCTTACAGGCTAAATAAACCTCATCTTAAGACGACTTCTTTGACCCTTGATTAGACTAGCATGTTTTGTATTCTGGCCATTTGCTAACTGGGGACTGTCTTACCTGTTTTGACTTTTTGTTTAGTGGCTTTCTCGTAGAATTTGTGAGAACTTTCTATAGACTATGGTGTTAGCACAGTGACCATGTGAAACAGCCCTCTCCTGTGCCCTACCTCCGCTGCATCCCTTTATTGATGAGCGAGGTCTTTTGAACACCATATTGTACACAGAACCATGCGCGTGGCTAGGTGCCCCCCCCCCCCCCCCCCGCCCGCCTTTAAAACCAGTAAAGCTGCCCGAGATGCCAATGCCACACCGGCCTCTCCTGCCTCTGCTCCCAGCACTGGGCTGTGGCCTACACGGAACAGTGATGTGCCACTGGGCCCCAGAGGGATGTGTAGAGACTCCAGAACAGGACATCTCTATCTGCCCAGGCCCAGCTGTGGGGATCAGGTCACTAATCTTGTGCTTTCTCCTCCCTGTTCACTCTGGTGTCCTGAGACGTCCCTGGCTCGGGCAGTCCTCGTATCTTCCCTCTGCTTTCTAACCGCCCCTGCCTTTCTCAAGTTCAGAAGGTGAATTATCACCTCTGGGCACACAGTCCTCGCTTCAGAGAAGGCAGGTCTCCAAAGCCATCCCAGACATCAGCGAACACACAGCACATGGGTTATTCTGAGGGGCGGGTGTTGGCTCTTTGGCCCCATGTCACATGCTCTGGTCACTGCTGGTGTCTGGGTGGATCAGGACTGAATGACAGCTCTCCCTTCACCCCAGCCCACCTTGACCCTGCTCCCTGAAGAGGAGGAACCTTGCTTTGTAGGTTCAAGATGGTGTGGCTGCAGGATCAGGCAAGAGCCTGTCCTAGCTCCACAGCCCTGCCCTGCCCTGACTCAGGCACCATCTCTCCTCCCACCCCACGCAGACACAGGGTTCAGAGCCCATCCCCTGCAGGAAGCCTGCAGGGCTGAAACCAGCAGTAAGAACAGGTGTCCCCACCCGGGGGGGCAGCCTCTCATACCAGAGTTCCCTCTGAGGGAAGGGAGCGGGATCAGCTGGATGTGCTGAGTGGCTCTTAAACACCTGTGCACTCACACTAGGTGAGGAGAGAGGCTGGGGGGAGTGGGAAGGGGCCTGAGCAGCAGGGCAACATGGCATGATGAGGGCTGAGGGGCAGACACCGCATGATGATGATCAGGACAGAATAGCACAGGCCACCAGGGAATGTCTACACCACGGCTGACAGTGGACCAATAAGGTGAACAAGAGAATCGAGAAGCTGAAACTGGCTGCACAAAAGTGACGTGAATTACAGTCATCCATTCTAACTGCTTAGTACTAATGCCTGATCCAGTGCAGCTCATCAGGATGCACAGATTTAGCACCAGGTCAGCTGAGTTGAGTGCCCACTGATCCTAAGAATCACAGGAACAAACAACCTTTCTAGTGACTTAACGCAGATTGGCCCTGGATGCTGGTGGCAGCAGTGGTAGGATAACAGCAGCACTGAGGACGTGCGTTACACAGGCTCGCTCACTCAATTTTTGCAGAAGCCCACATCGCCTACCATCTCTGTTATCCAGAAAGAAGGGGGGCAATCTGCAGGAGGTCCTGCAGCTGCAGAGCGGCAGGGAGGGGCGGGAGCCAGGCCGCTGGGCTCCAGTCTCACTCTGCTGCTCTGCACCCACAGGATGCTGTCTGCAGAGGGCTAGGAGCCTAGTTCCGCCTGCTCTGCCCCTCTGCCCGCGTCCCTGGCCAGCCCTTTTCCTCACCCGTGTAGCTGCTGGAAGGAAGTGCAAGCTCTGGTCCTCCATTGAGCTCTGGGGCTCCTTCAGCCTCTGCCACTTCCGCTTTCTCCTCCTCTTCCCGGACCTCAGGGGTCTCCTCCTGTGGCTGCTCCATGGCTGATCTCCCCTCGGTGCCACACCTGCAGGCCTGGTCATAGCTCTGGCATCATCTGGGTCTGAGTGCAGATGGACCTCTACAGGGCAGCTCCTGTTAGCCTGGACAGAGGGGAGACAGGAAGAAGTTGGGGGTGGCAGTGAAGAAGGGAGTGGCGAGTGGGGCTCCTTTGAGGGCCATGGGGAAGGAGGTCTGCTCCAGCTCCTTCTTTGGCTCCTTCCTCGGTCCCTGCTGTGCTCCTCCCAGGGTCCCTCCTCCTGTGTGGTGGAGTCACTTGCCCTCCTCCCGCCCTCCCACATAAGGATGATGGGGTTGAGAGCAGTTTTCACTAACCAAGTGAATGATGCGCCACCGCCACCCATCGCCATTGTGCTGCCTTTCCCTGCCTCCTCGGCAGCAGCCTGTTTTTTGAGCCTGCGTCTCCAGAAGCCATGTCAGAATGACTTGAGGGGCTTTTCCCACTTCCCCAGGCCTCTTGGAGACCTAGATATGCATCGCACCTTCCGACTCCCAGGCGCCCCACCAGCACTCAGGTCCGGAACCCCTGCTGTCCTGAGCTCCTGCTGGGCTCAGCTCCTACTAACAGCCCTGCAATAGGCCTGGGGAGAGGAGCTTCCCCCTGGGGTCGTTCTCAGGTGGGTTAGAGGATGCGACCCGTGTCCACATCACCTGGGGGAGGACGCTCCATCCCTGTCAAGTAAAATACTGTTCACAAATGCCGCAGTCGGAGGTAGTGAGATCAGGAGGCACTGCGAGACCTCCTGGTACGGAACTGCAGGGACACAACCAAAGCAGAGTAGGCCTGGGGCAGGATTAGGGGTGGTGGTGTAGATCTGCCTCAGGGATATTTAAGCATTTGTGGGGCCATTCTCTTGGAAATCCACAGGTGGGTCAATCTCAATCTACACCTAAGAACCCTTCTTCTCTCCCCAAACTGCCCCTCCTCTGGGAATCCCCACTTTGGTGACCCACCTGCCTACCTACCCACTCATCAAAGCCAGAACCTGAGGGTGATCTGAGACTTCTCCCCCTCTTACCCTATTCTAGGTCCACCAACTTCAATGTTGGAATCACTGAGGAGTTTTTAAAAATATGGATGTCTGGGTCCATCCCTGGAAATTCTCACTTGGTTGGTTTGGGGAACAGTTTGGGCACTCGGATTTTTATTTTTTAACCACCCTGGTGATGGAAAAGTATAGCCTTGAGTCCACTGCTCCCCAATGAGGCAACTCCAGCTGGTAGTAAGCCGCCCCTCACCGCATTTGAACCCTACCCACTCCTTTTCCCAGGCACTCCCTTGCTTGGGTTTGCACAGCAACCTCTTAGTTGGCCTCCTAGAGGACCAACTAGACCAGCTAAGGGTATTCAGAGTCTAAGTGGTTGGAACTGGGGGGTTAGGGACCTGTAGATATGGGAGGCACTCTGTTGATGTGATAGCCATGGGAAAAGGTACAGTTCACCAAGGAAAGCAAGCAACGTGTCCAGGTAAGAAAAAGGAAGAGGTGCTAGGCAGGCAATGGGGTGGTGGGCAGAGAAAGAAAGGACCCGGGGCAGCTATGTGTCTCAGAATCAAGGGAAGGGCTATTTCAAGGGGTGGCCAGCCGTCTCAAACACTATGGATATTCAGAGTGATCAACTGGCAAACAGCCATCAATGACCCTCTGAGGCAAGTTTCAGTCAAATGGTTGGGAGGGAAGAACAGGGATAATGAGGAAACTGGGATATAGTGAATGGAGACTAGTTTGGGGACAAATATGTTAGGGAAATAAACATACAAGAGTATGCTAGCTTGAAGAATGGTAGCAAGGCCACCAAGAGGTTTGTGGTCAGAGAGGTCAACAGAGAAAGACTGAAGATTCATGGAGAAGCCAGGGCAGGATGAGGGACAGAAGGAAATAATTCAGGGTTACAGGATGAAGAAGATTCAAGTGACGCCAGGTACAGTGGCATTGGCATAAGCCTGTATTCCCAGTACTACTCTGGAGAGAGACCCCATCTCAAAATAAAAAATAAGGAGCTGGGGCTGGGGCTCAGCGGTAGAGCACTGGCCTAGCATGTGCAAGGTGCTGGGTTCAATCCTCAGCACCACAGAAAAATAAATAAATAAAATAAAGGTATATGCCCAACTGCAACTAAAAAAAAAAAATTTAAATAAATAAATAAAAATAAGAAGGGCTGGAGATATAGCTCAGTGGTAAAGGATCCCTTGGGTTCAATCCCTAGTACTAAAATCAAAGCAACTATTTGATAAAAGAAAAATGCAAATTAAAATACAGACACAACTTTTTTTTTTTTAACAATCTGATTAAAACCTACTAACATGCTGGGCATGGGGTTCAGTGGCTGCCCAGCATGCACAGGCCCTGGGTTTCATTCCCAGCACTACAAAACAAGATACTCAAAACACACATTGCTGCTAAGCATGTGTTTGCGTTTGGTATACTGGTGCAGCCTCTATAGAGGGTAATTTGGCCAACATCTAAATTACAAGTATAAATACTCTTTGACCCAGAAATACCCATCCTGTGTTATATCCTACAGTTACTTCCACATAAGCAAAATGATAAAGTATCAGTAAAAGATTATTCATTATAGCGTTGTTTGACTAGTAAGGGATGGGAAATAAGCTAAATGTCCACTAACAGGGGACTTATTCAAATAAATTATAATATGAACACATGGAATTCTATGCAGCCACAGACAAGCATGAATTTGTGTGTGTGTGTGTGTGTGTGTGGTTTTTGAGGTATTGGGGACTGAGCTACACCCCCCTACACTTTTTTCCTGCTTGTATACAAAGTATATTCACACCATTCGTGCCTTCAAACATGCACTTAGGGTAATGATGTCCATCTCATTCCACCATCATTGCTAACCCCCTGCCCCCTCCCTTTCCCTCACACCCCTCTGCCCTGTCTAGAGTTCGGCTATTCTACCCATGCTCCTTTCCCTATCTTACTATGAATCAGCCTCTTTATATCAGAGAAAACACTGGCATTTGGTTTTCTGGGATTGGCTAACTTAGCATTATATTCTCCAACTCCATCCATTTACCTTCAAATGCTGTGATTTTATTCTCTTTTATTACTGAGTAATATTCCATTGGGTATATATACACCACATTTTCTTTATCCATTCATCTACTGAAGGGTATCTAGATTGGTTCCACAGTTTAGCTATTATGAATTGTGTGACTATAAACTTCAATGTGGCTGTATCCCTGTATGTAGTATGCTGTTTTTAAGTCCTTTGGGTATCCCACCGAGGTGTGGGATAGCTGGGTTAGTTTTCCAAGGAATCTGCATACTGCTTTCCTTATTGGCTGCACCAGTTTGCAGACGCACCAGCAATGTATGAGTGTGCCTTTTCCCCCACATCCTCGCCAACACTTATTGTTGTTTGTATTTTTTTTTTAAAGAGAGAGAGAGAGAGAGAGAGAGAGAGAGAGAGAGAGAGAGAGAGAGAGAGAGAGAATTTTAATATTTATTTTTTAGTTTTCGGCGGACACAACATCTTTGTTTGTATGTGGTGCTGAGGATCGAACCCGGGCCGCACGCATGCCAGGCGAGCGCACTACCGCTTGAGCCACATCCCCAGCCCTGTTGTTTGTATTCTTAATAGCTGCCATTCTGACTGGAGTGAGATGAAATCTTAAGAGTAGTTTTGATTTGCATTTCACTGATTGCTAGAGATGTTGAACATTTTTTCATATAGTTGTTGATTGTATATCATCTTCTGAGAAGTGTCTGTTCAGTTCCTTGGCCCATTTATTGATTGGGTTATTTGTTTTGTTTTTTTTTTTGGTGTTTAGTCTTTTGAGTTCTTTATATACCCTAGAGACTAGTGCTCTATCTGATATGAGAGTGGTAAAAAATTGCTCCCAAGATGTAGGGTCTCTATTCATCTCACTGTTTCTTTTGCTGAGAACAAGCTTTTTAGTTTAAATCCATCCCATTTTTTAAAAAATTTTAATTCTTGCTCTATAGGAGTCTTATTAAGGAAGTATGGCCCTAATCTGACATGATGGAGATTTGGACCTGTTTTTTTTCTTCTATTAGACACAGGGCCTCTGGTTTAATTCCTAGGTCCTTGATCCACTTTGAGTTGAGTTTTGTGCATGGTGAGAGGCAGGGGTTTAATTTCATTTTGTTGCATAAGGATTTCCAGTTTTCCCAGCACCATTTATTGAATAGGCTATCTTTTCTCCAATGTATGTCTTTGGCGCCTTTGTCTAATATAACTGTAATTATGTGGGTTAGTCTCTGTGTCCTCTATTCTGTATCACTGGTCTACCAGTCTATTTTGGTGCCAATACCATGCTGTTTTTGTTACTATTGCTCTGTAGTATAGTTTAAGGGCTGGTATTGTGATGCCATCTGCTTCACTCTTCTTGCTAAGGATTGCTTTAGCTATTCTGGGTCTCTTATTTTTCCAGATGAATTTCATGACTGCTTTTTCTATTTCTAGGAGAAATGCCATTGGGATTTTGATTGGAATTGCATTAGATCTGTATAGTGCTTTTGATAGTATGGTCATTTTGACAATTCTGCTATCCAAGAGCAAGGTAGATCTTTCCATCTTTTAAGTATTTTTTTTATTACTTTCTTTAGCATTCTGTTGTGTTCATTGTAGAGGTCTTTCACCTCTTTCGTTAGGTTGATTCCCAAGTGTTTTATTTATTTATTTTTTTAGTTGTAGATGGACACAATTTCTTTATTTTATTTATTTTTATGTGGTGCCAAGGATCAAACCCAGCGCCCCACATGTGCTAGGCAAGTGTTCTACCACTGAGCTACAGTTCCAGACCCCCAGCCCTTTTTATTTCTTACTTTGAGACGGAGTCTCACTAAGTTGCCTAGGAAGACCTCAAACCTGGAATCCTCCTGCCTCGGTCTCCTGAATAGCTGAAGTTACAGTATGTGCCACCATACTCAGCAAGAATAAAGTTAGTTATGGGGTAATACGGAAGTATCTCTAAAATATAAGTGAAGATACAAAGAAGCTGTACTGATCTCTGTGAAGCAGCTCTGGAAGGCTACATACAACTTTGGGAACACCAACAGCTTGGGGTCAGGGGACTGAGTTTCAGGTTCACTATGGG